TGAGCTAAGCCTCATCCTCACTGGAGCGATAGCCAAAACCACTGAGAGCTTCCTCCATACACCTTCAACCTGCAGCATTTGCTATTGTTCAGAGTGCACAGAAAGCTGTGAGAGGGTGTAGGATACATCCATTTCCTCTTCTAAAATGAAGGGAAATGACCTGAAGGGACTGAATTATGGAGCAACGCACTTTGTTTCCTTCTTGCTTGAGGTCTTGGTTCATAGAGGGGTTTGTTTAGTGTGTATTCCTTTCCCTTGTGGTTTAAAACCAACAAATTAAAAAACAAACAAAAACAAACCAAGAACAAATACGAGCAAGGAGCAGCTGAGTGGATAACCCACACATCAGCCACATTATCACAGGTTCATCCTGAGCTGTAGCTGGCAAACAACTTCACCCACCATGAATCGCTCCCACCAGAGAGCACCAGATATGGCCAAGGTGCCACAGCTGGGCCTCACTGGTCAGATGTGTTTGCCGCGGCATTTGGTGGCACCTATGTGGAGTAGCACATGAAGAAACCCTCCAGGGGCCTTGCACTGCTGTAAGCACTAGTAACACCACGCCGCAGGAGACAAGTCCCGCCGTAGGGAGTGATGGACAGTGGTGGAGCAGTTTGTGCCGCCTCACCTTGCTGTCCCCTAAGGACCCAGCACCTGGTGGCACTGATGTCCCGGTGCCTTGCCTGGTTAGGGGCGAGGACAGGGAAATAAGGTTCACCTGTGCTGGAAGGGTAGTATATTAGGGGCAGGGTTTCTAGACCGGCTAGCAAAGATGAATCCTACAGGAAAAACCCTTGTGCTCAAACTCCTTGCCCTGTCCTGTTTAGCAGGATAAAAAAGCTGCAACAGAGTCATCTCTCAGCCTCATTTTTGTTTCTCTGCTTCTACAGCCTCACCAAGAGAAGGGAGGAGAACCAGCTACACTCATCTAGGCACTAGTGGGGTGCTCATCTCCAAGGACAGGCAGCAATGTAAATACTTGAAGGGACAGCCTTAACTTTTCCGAACTATGCTTCCCAGGGAAGATCCAAGCACTGTTCATACACCTCTGGGCATGGAAAGCTTGCACGTTTCTTTTCCTGACTGAAAACAGCTGCTCTGTGCTGCGCATTCTTGGGTACCATGGTTCTTAAAAAGAAAGGACCTTGTAGCAATAATTGCACCAAAAAAATTTGGCATTCCCACTTTTATATTAAATTTTTTATTGAGATGATGCAATTACAGGCATTTTAAAAATTATTTGCAACTCACTGGCCCTGAGAATAGGCTTTTTTGTTTTTTTTTGTTTGTTTTTGTTTTGTTACATTCATTTGATTCAGTCCCTTAGCCCCACACCTTAAAAAACCAAAAAGCCATCATCAATAAAAACAGACTAGAATTTTATTTAAAAAAAGACCTCGAACTGATGCATTCTGGATTTGCACATGATTGCAGTCTGACAAAGAGATCTGGAGAATGCATGCGTGGAGTTTGAAATCTGGGGAGGGTGGCAGCAACTTAGTGTTCACAGAAGGGGCTCCAGTAGTGTTCTTTGGATGGAGTGGCAGACAAAAGGTTTCAAACTTAAATCAAATAAAATGTTCTGCTGTGGAACTGCAGCATGTCCTACCTGACCGGCTTGTGGCTTGTTCAGACTTGTAGCAAGCTGACGGCAATGAAGGTCCCACTTAACTGCAGAGTGTGAAGATCCTTTGTTGAGTGTTGAAGTTGGAAGGGACCTCTGGAGGTCAACTGGTCCAACCTCCTCTTCAAGCAGGGCCACCTAGGGCCAGTAGCCCAGGACTGTGTCCAGATGGCTCTTGCGTGTCTCCAAGGATAAGACTCTTTCTCCCTTTTCCCACTTGCTTTGGTGGCAAAGGCAGAAAGTTTGGCTGCTTTGCTGCTGGCAAATTCTACACTGGGAATCATGCATTGGGGAGGGAAGGTGGGTGTCGGAGTTGGTGGAGACAGCATTACCTTTGCTAGCCCAGTCGGGCAGCCAAGCATTCCTGTAGCTGTGTTTGCACTCCATATATCTGCCGTTTGGACGTGAGGTAGACGGGAATCTGTCAACTGCAGCTGCTCTAGCCTGGTTTTTAGCCTGGTTTGGTGTTGTTTTTTTTTTTTTTTGTCATAGCTGTTAAACTTGCTTCCAAGACCCCAAATAACACTTAAAATCCTGCAGGTCCCACAACAGGTCCCAAGCCCCTGCAGTTCTGGCAGCTGCAGTGTCACCCCCGGCACTCGCTGCTGCACCCCCCAGACCTGGCAGGAGGCAGGGGACAGCACCAGCCAGGAAGGGCCTCTGTGGGATCGGCCTGCTCCAAGCTCAAAGGCTATTTTCTTTCCAACTAGCATCAGCCTTGAGAGAACTTCTTCTCTGTGGTTGTGGTGGAGAAGAAGTTGTCTTAAGATGTCATTTACATGTGAACTGGAAGAGTCTCCAACAGCCATCAATTTTTTTTTTTTTCCCCTGTGACTTAGATTCTGCAAGTGAAAGTGATTGCATTTTTGGTAAAAATTTCCTCTACAAAATTTCCCCTAGAAAATTTCCCTATGGGACAACATGTGTGACTTCAGGATTCCTTGCTTCTTCCTGTCTTACCCAATGCTGAGGATGAACTTTGTTTGCTAGCACGCATGGGGAGCATAGGGGCTTATACTGGTGGATTGTCTCTTGTTCTCTGCATTTTGCAGTGTCACCTCGTCCGTGGCAAAAACCTGTGTCACTGTATATAGAAGGTCCCTATTGTCTTTTTTTTCTCTACCACCTTGTACCAGTAGCTGCAGCAGGCAAAAGAATATAATGCAGTTGTCACAGCCAGAGCAGTAAAGGATATGGATCATTCTCTGCACAAACTTGGTTTCTTTCTACTGCTGAACACCCTAAGAAACACAAGAAACAAGCAAGAGCCTTCCTTTATGTTGATTTTTCTGATCACATTCATCTGTCATTCATAGTCACCTCTTCACCCCAGCTCCTGAGACATGGCTGCAACTTGCGTCCCCTTGAGCAGGGTGACAGGGCAGAGTAACTCCTTGGCCCCTTGGTTTCAGGGGACCTTTGGTTTCGGATCTGTGACCACGGAAGTCCCTCAGTGTCTCCCACTCATACCTCCTGAGCTCCAAGGACTTGAGAGTCACGGCAGAGACAGGTAACAGGTCGTCTGCTCACCTTTGCGATATACGCTCCCATGTCTTTTTGAGGCAGAAAAAGTCAAGTACGTGGTGTGCTGGGACTTGTAACCTACTGACTATGATTTAATAAAAAAATATGGCCAGGAAAAGCTTAGGGAAGAGATGTACGCCCTGTTGTTCCTCATCAGATACTGGCTCTGAAAAATGTCTCCTCTTTGGATGATGCCTATCTACACCCTAACAAAACTGCTCCTTCTACGACCTGTGACTCAATATTAAGCCTTTTGTGAGATTGCACTATCTCCGTTTAAACACAGGGGACACTATTCATTGCCAAGTGCCATTTTTTCCTGGATAGATTAACCCTGTTGTTAAGTATGTGGTAAGATCAAATGTTATGCTGGTTTAATATCTGATAAAAGCTCTGTCATGGGAATGTATCTTGGTTTTTGGTAGAAACAGATGATTAGATTAGCCCATTGATTTTTTCCATTTCTAGTATGTATGTTCCCATAAAAGAGGCTTTCTGTTTTAATGAACTGGTGTGGACATGGTGCTTTTTTCCAGACACCTTGTGATTCCTGCACAGTTTCTCTATTTTTCTCTATATTCTTCTCCCTTTGCAAGCATCATTTTTCCTGCTTGATCTTCCTTCCATTAAAAGGACCGCTGATGATGGATCACTGGACGCCTGGACACCACAGACTTTCCTGTCATGGTGGCCCAAGCACTGTGAAATAAAAAGGCCAGTAGTTTCTCTTGTATTGGGCATCAAGGACTGCTGAGCTTCCTGCGACCAAATGAGGCATAGCTCTTTGCCTCGTGCAAAGCACCCTCAGCGCAGCTAACCAAATCAGGGGTGTAAAAAATGGGGCACCTTGCAACCAGAACAAAACCAAAACCCAAGAAAGCAACACAGCTTTAGGGCTTCTTTTTTTCTTGTCTTTGAACTCATGTTAAAAATGGACAAGCTGAGACAGCTCCCTTGATGGCAGAGCTGTGGGGTGGGGGAGGCACAAAAAAACCCAAATCCCAAAACAAAGCCAAAATCAATTAGAAGATATAAGTATAGCTATTTGGTCTCTAGTTCTCTACCATCAGTTTTCAGACTGGTGAATCATCTACCTCTTCAGCAGCACAAAATGATCCTGGCGAGGTTTCTGAGTAATACAAACCATGTGATGGGTCCCTTTGCTTTCTCCCTCCGATGTAAGGAACAGTCCTTCACCTTTCACCCCAAAATTGCTAGAAGGTGTAAGAAACACCCCTCCCTTTTGTAACTGCAGGTGCTTCAGCCTTTGCTTTTTTATAGAAAGCTTTGAGCTGAAATTCTGCATTGTGGATATATTGTGGGGGTTACATATATATACATATATATACTAAACATTTTTATATATATATACACATATATATGTGTTTGTCCTTCCTCTCCCCCCGCCCCCCCCTCCATTCTATCACTTCTTTGCTAGAGGGAGGGAAAACGTCAACATCAGTCTATTGCAGAGGTTTGTCACATTTATTTTTCTCCTCCCCGGAGCACTTAGGTGATTGGTTTTGGTCCGTATTCCAGCAGTTAACAGCCACTCGCAGACTCGTTGTGAGCCCAGGCTATGCTGGGGTGATATCCCAGCCTACACGTGAAGGGTGACTCCTCTTCATTTGACAGGTATGTGTGGTAAATTCTTTTGGTAGCTTCAACACATTTCCCAGTGGCAGCACATGTACATTGATCGGAGCAAACTGGAACCCTTGAGCAAATCCCTTCTGTGATGCTATTGTTTTATGCTGTGTTATGTCATGAGACTTGCACAGAAAATGAGAGCGCTCTATTTCCATAGGAAAGCCTTCAAAAAAAAAAAAAGCATCATCTGATGTCTTCTCCTATGTGAAATAAGGAAAGTCAAACTGCATGTTTATTAGGGAAAAAAAAAAAAACAACAAAAAACCCCCAAAACTGAAACAAACCAAAAAGAAAGAACGAACTCAAGGGAGACTTTGTAGGAACAGTGAAGTAGTGCATAAGTCCAGGCTTTCTCCCTTTTACTTTTCTGCCAGCACCACTTCTGCCTGTTAGTTTTGTTAAGGTGCTTCAGGTCCTGCGTGGTCTTCAAGCAAAGTGGCGACCCCAAGTACTGCTTCTGTGTTGTTGCTTCCCCTCCCAAACTGTGCCAGCCATCTGGGCAGATGTTTCTCCCATGGACCCACAGAGGCGGTGCACCAGTTCCCTTCAGCACTCATCTTCTTGGTATATTTGTTCATCCAGTTCCTGGGATTCAAGGTGCTCGAGGCGGTCTGTTCGGCCACTCATAATCTCATCTGGGGTCTTCATGAACCTGCAAAATAGAGAAACAAGCGGATTTCCCAGTGGTCTCAGCTTTTACCTTCATCAAGACATTGAGGTCCCTGAGCTCTACAACTCCCAAAATCATCTTCGGTGTATCCTCCCAATGACTTAGTATTTCCCAGCTTCTGCGCAGCCTACTGGTGTCTTCCCTCCATAGCTTGACAGGAAATTAAAAAATCACAGGCATTTAGCCCTGCTCCTTGAAAATTCAAATTTGAACCAGACCCCATAATCTTTTCCAAAGAATGACATTTACTTCTTCTCCCTCATATTGTTGGCTGTTGTCAATAAGATTATAGTACGCCAAGGGCACACTCATTTGTGGTGTCTGGTGACAGAAACATTAAAGACCTTTATGGCTAGCACATTTCAAAGCAAAAGCACTTGCAAGGCGTGGAGAGACAGAGGGCTACTGGTTTGTGCAGGCTTACATGTAGGTGAGTGAAAAGGAATATGAAACACCAAAAGGAGCACTGGTGGAAAAAGCCAAGGAACAAGTCAGAACAAGTTCTGGGAAACTGAAAAAGCCCTGAAAGAAAAAGCTTTTGGGCTAAGGAATTGTGAGCAAAGACAGTCTCTTCCTGTGTGACTGTAGCACGCGTAATTCTAAAGAAGCAGTATCCTCTGTAAACGAATGCCACGGCTCCCAGCACTAATGCCTGGACGCAGTAACTCTGCAGGGGCCTAGAAACAGAAACTACCGCTGGGGAGGGATGGCAGCAGTAGGAAATGGGAAAGGACATCCACCAGCCTGCAGATCAAGTCTGCAGTCTTGATCATTGCCAGGATGCTTTTGTGTAGGACCGCACAGAGAAAGCACAGAAAAGCTCTGCTTTTTCTTTTGGAATTTAATGGCATAGGAAGAGAGAGTGGCACAGGAAGGATGAAATCCTAGTTTAAACACAAATCACTTTCCGAACTCATAAGTGCTTCTGCAGAAATTAGGATGAAAGATGTTTATGCTGGAAGTGTTACAAAATTTCAGTCTTTCATTAATGATATACTGGCTAACATTCAGCAGTACAAAACACGTTAAACAGAGGAGCTGATTTTATTTCAGATTGATGATATGCTCAGTATCCTTGCCCCATTGAAAACAAAACCAACTGACAGGAGCCTCGTTACTATCACTGACCCAGAAAAATCACTGCTGAAGCTCATGGGCAAGACTTGCCTCCTCTTCTGCCTCTGAGGTTATAAAGCTGAGAGCTTTCCATCTGAAAAATCTGGAGCCTCTTAGCAAATGCATAGCACAGCCTGGAACTAACCTTTTGCCATCCCTTCTAATTTTGGAAATCATGTGCACATATGCATTTAGGAAAAAAAAAAAAGGGCTGTGACTCACTGCTGTGTCACTCCCATTTGTATGCTGGAAGGACGCTGCTGATCTAAATGGTGTTACGGTGGTGAAAAACTAGCATACAGAAGTGGTGAATCAGTCCCTGGCTACACAGTGAAAACGCACCAAAGCCTACGGGCCAGACTGCCCTGATTTAAACCCTGTGCCTGTCTTGTTGATCTTGCATGAAGATGAAATCAAAACAGAGGGTGATCCCACTGCCTGTCCTACATTTGGTCTGCTCTGTTTCCTAAACCATGTGGGAAATGGGCTGATGAGAACTGTTCTGCAGTACTTCAGGTATTCTCTCTGGTCTATGTTTTAAGTCATGTCAAGAAACTCAAAGCATGGGTATTTGTAGTAGCACTTGATTAGATTTTAAGAAAACAACACAGAACTACAAACTAATGAAGAGAGAGTATCTGTGATCTCTTTTGTTGCAGAAGACACTCAGGCAACCTATTAGAAATCCCTTCTCTGACTCCATTTTACTTAAAGCTCTGTACAGATATCTGCAGATGACAACTGCCTGCATGTTACTTATAAAGTCACATTTCCTATTATTTCTGTGCTTGCGAGAAATAGCCAAGAAAGGCACATTAATAGCTTGATTTTTTGCAGCTGTTCCTCTTTTTCTCTTCTGATATAAATAGGTCTAAGAAAACAACATCAATAAGTTTTTATTGGGAAATGTGCAAAAAATGCTTTGTTGTTTTTTTTTTTCCAGTTTCCGAAGGAAATGAGGTTTATATGCTCATGTTTTATGCTCCCTGGTGACCTTTGAATCTGTTGGTCAATTTTGGGCAAGTCTGACAGAGGAACTGAGGTCTCTAAGGGTATTAAGTTTCTACAGTTTTGAGAAAATAGGCAGCCTGGTTGAGAAGAGATGGACTCCTGTTTTGTTTGTGCCCCTACCAAAGGAGAGGCTCCAAAACAAGCACATTCAGTGTTCAGCATCACAGAATTCCCCCAGGGCAGCACAGGCTTCACACAAGGCCATAGCAATCCAGGCTGCCTTCCTTGGTACTGCTGCTGATGGAGCAACCTTGTTTTAATTTTCCACAAAAAAAATTAAAATCACTCAGTTGATTTTGCCTGTGTACTTCCTTCTTCCCTTCACTCTCCTCCCAACATCTAAGTCTCCTTCTAAGAGCTGACATAAACAAGACATTCCACAGAAACCTTTTCAGCTGTAGATAGTTTGAGTGCTAATGCAGTTCTGTTAGCTATTTAAGACAACAAGCTCCAAGACTGCCTTCCTACTGATATCATTTCCAAGCACATGACTAGATCCAGACCACTGACATCAAAGCAGTCTTTGGTCTGAGTTCAGTGCTCTGTGGGTCAGACGTATGCACTAGGTTTTGCTGGTCTTGCCTGAAGAGAACTGGAGTGCTCTCACTCTCTGCCAGCCACACTCAAGTTTGTACAAGTTTGCAGGACTTCATGCCATTTTGGGCACTATTTCCTAAATTCTTGGTTGTATCATCCAATCTGATGCGCTAGGTTTTATGAACACCTCTTGCAAGTTCCTCCTTCCTTGATGGTAGCACCACTGAAGACACGGTTATCAGAACTTCTCTTTTGCAATGCTGATGCACTTGAGGAAATGCCTGATCCCTCCTTAGCTTTCACGGGCAGCTGTTTCTGAGAAGTGAATTTGGAGTGGGTTTTCCAGCAGTTTGGCTGAGATCATGAACCATTTAGCTAGGTCTTAAACAATGGTGCAGACTGCTTGAAGTGAGTGACTTCTATTGACTCCACTGATCATTGAAACAGGCCCGTATTTTTGTAAATTGGAGCAGTTGCCTTGAAAGCTGGGAAGCACTGGTCTAGACAGCTTCTACAAGTATATGCCCATTATCACCTGTGTTATAGCTGTGGCAATGAAGTATCCCACACACAATTTCACCCTCCATCTTCAAAAACTAATAGTCTGTAGAAAGGAATGGCAAAGAAAAGAAAAAATTACCTGAACAAAAGCCTTTGTCCTGGCTCCTTCCGGATAATATTTAGTTTGTAGTAGTGGCGTAGGGCTCTGGACATTTTCTCGTAAGTCATATTTGTTCTGTTCTGTTTTTTTCAAAAGAAAAAGGAAAAACATGGTGAGATGATTCATTAAAACCTTCCTAAGCCCCAAAAGGAGTTGCAGAACTATCACAGCTAGCTAAAGTAACCAAGTCAGTTTAAGAAATTACATGTTCCATTCTTCTGCTGTTTGCAGGCCCATTCTGCCCCTCCAGCCCTCATCACCAAATTTTTATGGGTCTCTTCTCGTACAGGGCCATTTAAGCAAGAAAGTCTAACAAAAATTCCAAGTGAGGTTTTTCTTCAGTTTCTTGCATCACAGGTAACAAAAAGCTTCATCAACCACAGGAGGAGACATTATAGACGGAGGGACATGCTCATGCCAAGTGGGATGTGACAGGCCTATTCTTAATGAAACCACCTTTTGTAAAAGTGTAAGAACAGTGGCTAATAGACTGAATCTGTCAGCAATCCCTGCTAAGAGCAGTGTTACTCTGGGATTCCCCTCCATTAACTAGTTAATGCTTACAGAGCACTGTGGAGATTGAGAGCCTGTTTCTCCTCTTGTTATACAGGTGTAAATCAAGAAGCCCATTAGGTTGTACATCTACTTCTGTGACAGATTGTCCCCTTCATTTTGGGAGCTGCTTACTCCAAAGGCCATTGCCAGAGCACTGTAGGGTGACTGAGGCATGGCCCTGCTGAAGCTGAGTGTCACAAGGCAGAAGTGATGGGCACTGGCAGAGCTGAATGTGGGCAGCCCCCATAGTCAGGACTTGGGATAGCAGGATCTGTCCCTTAGGCTACATCTACATAAAGAACATTTTTATGGTACAAGGAGCACTGGTTACGATGCTGGCAAAGAAACTCCCCGCAGAAAGCCAACTACACTGGCAAAGCCGTGTTTGCATGAGTATAAAGCAGCCGCCTTGCCATGGGCAAAACATGCCAAACTAGTAGGAGCATGCTTTTGCTCTGTAAGCCTCCATGTTAGGAGTTTGGCTTGGCCCAGCTCTGTCAGTGCAAGATCAGGTAGAAGTCTGCGGTGTTGACCTGGCTTTATTAAATGAGACTGGTCCACCTGTCTAAAATGACCCCCTATGAGCAGACCTTCTCTGCTTGCCCTCACCACAACAGCTCTGCTAAGGGAGGCCACATAAAGAGCTCCTGTGGCAGTTAAACACTAACAATG